ATTCAGTCACATCTAACATAACACATGCTTATAAATCACACTTGAGATATGTATATGTAAATCTGCTTGTTGCATCTATGTCTGTTAATAAATATATTACCTTTTTCAGATTCAGTCACATCTATCACTTTAATTTTAATCAATGATTGTATAAATGAATTACCTAATTTTCTTTTTGTAAGTATTCATATATAATGCCTTATTTCACTACCTGTGGCACTGTATAAAATGTTACTGTTTAACTAGTATCTTCCCTAAAACAACCATGCATACGTTTTTAGAAAAAATATGTCACCTAGAAATATAATTAACGTGAAAATTAGTACGTTTTTAGTTATTCTCCCTTCCTTTATAGTAAATGTCAAAGGACTGTTCATAATATTACTGTGTATTCTTGTAAAGAAGTCTATATTACAAATACATACGTACATTTGTCCATAAATATATATTCTTCATTCCAGTTAGATAAAATATAGTGATAAAATCAAACAAAATAGATTCGTGGCAGCTGTATTTTATGATTTAAAATATTTTATTTGGAATACTTCAAACAAAAAGAAAAAACAAAAACACACCAAATTTCTTTAAGTTCTTTGACATACATTCAATAAACAGACTTGTATACCAAAAAAAGAAGTAATTAACTAAAAAATATTAATGATCCTTATCCTTTCCTTAACAAAGGAAAGTACATCTAACTAAATAAACATGGCCATCCTCCTGGGTCGGCCCAATTCTCAAAATCACTTCCCAAGCAGTTTTTTCTACTTTGTTTACAATTAGCAGTTTGCCGATTGTCCCAATACAAAGTACATGATCCTTGTGAATAATTCCAAGACTTGGCATTAACTTGCACAGAGTACAAAAATTAGATATACAGTTTCCACTATGTATTCTCTTGCTGATATGAAGATACATATGTATTCTCTTGCTGATATGATATACATACATATGTATATATGCATATATATGTGTATATATATACATATATATTTATTGTTGTCGGCAGTAATTTCAAAATTGCAACCAACGTATTATTTATATATATATATATATATATATATATATATATATATATATATATATATATATATATATATATACACACACACACAGATACACATCTACATACATGCACAAGTTATTGCATTAGCTTTTCTTTTTTTTTTTTCTTCTTTTTCTTCATTAGTATTTTCCGGAAAAAAAAAAAATCCAGTTAAAATTTTCGAAGATTATTATTCTAGCAGACTCTAGATATCATCTTTAAAACAAACAGTCACACAAAGCACTGTATGCCAAGGCTATTCTGTGCACTGTAACCTTTGCATATTTCTAGGTTTAAGAATGGAGGAATATGCATTGATAAGTTAATGGTAGCCAAACATACCACTGTCTTGTGTTTTCCCGAAAGAAGCAAGGATCCCTCAAGGTTAGCTAGGCTTCTCTGACTCCCATTTTTATTCTCTTTATTAGTAGTAGTGGTAGTATTCAGAATATCAAGAAACAAAAAATAATAACAATTATAAAAGACAATTCCTGTTAAAAAATTGCTAGCCAAACAGCAGAAAACAAAATTTCTCTGTGTCAGCTAAGTAATTTGGCATTTTGTTTTTGTGTTAAATTATGAAGAGTCTAACATTGATAAAATACACTTATTGATATTTATATTAAAATGAAGAGCCAAGCAATGAAAAAAAAAGCCACGATAAAATCCCCACTGGAAATTCAGGATCCATTGTACTATTGTTCTGTACTTCAACATCACTTTATACTCTCTACACAATCCTACCTTCTAAACTTATAATACAAAAAGTCTTCATTGTATATCTTTAGGTTCTACACATGTGAAAAAAGGTTCCATATAAAACAAGTGTCTCTGACTCTGACAGGAATATTAGCCTTGCGTCCAGTGACTCATACTATCATGATTATGTAAGTCTCCATCTTGAGACAATCAAGACACGATCAACGATGAAATGAAACTGGCATTTTAAAATTGCTGAAGGTTTACTTTATTCTCTTGCCCCCTAAGAAACAGCAGTTCCAAAACAAGAAATAATAATAATGGTAAAAAAAAACTATCCTTAAACTCCAATACTGTAGAAAGTACTTGAAATAAGAAAGAAGGAAAGATAAGAAAAATGAAAAAGAAAAAGAAAGAAAAAAATAGAGGCAAACAAAAGTATGAATATTACAAGACATCACTAGAGGGCCCTCAATATCTGCCTCTGCGGTCTCGACGGTCACGATCACGAGAGCGTGAGCGAGACCTCCTCCTGTGTTTCTCAGGGCCATGCTTGTCATGCCTGTCACGAGACCTGGAGCGTGACCTGGACCGGTACCTATAACGGGACCTGGAGGAACGTGCCAACAAGTTCTTGAGGTGGTGCGAAATGGGCTTGACATGCCAGAAGTTGCAGAATCCACCCTTACCACATTGGCCCATTTCAAACTGGCGGCAACAGGCCTCACGGAAATCAGCCACAGGACACAGGTCACAGTAAATAGGTCGGAACATGTACCAGCGGTTGTTGAGGTCCTCTGCTGCCTTAACTGCATCTTCCTCCCGCCGGAACTTGATGTACACATTGCCTCTCAGGTGGTCACATTGATTATCGCACACGCACATCTCCTCAATTTCTCCATACTTGTCCTCACATTCGAAGAACACGTCCTCAAAGAAATACTCAAACTGTTCCTGGATCTCATGGTCACTCATGTTGGCCAAATGAGATCCATCAGCTGACTTGGCCGAGTTCTGCTGGCTCACATACATGTTCTGCATCACCACTGTTTGGCTGTAGGGAACAGGGGTAAGAAACCATCAGTTTTGATAAAAACATTGAACAATGTTTTCTTATAAAAACATGAATCTTTCAAAATTTATAGACCAAGCAAAACAAGCAAATGCTTTCAATATAAACAGGGAACTTGCAATAAAATAATTATATGCCACCATCACATAAAATAAGGGGGGTGGGGGGGAGACACAAAAGCAACAACACTGCTTGGACACCCACCTGTACTGTGGTTTGTTGTGTTTTCTGGAACATCTTTCACTATGACGGCAAGCTCCAGTCTTGATGTAAAATGAGCAGTTTACCTTATCCTTCTCTGTGCCATAGATGGAGGCCAAGTATTCAGCCCCTGACATAGACATGGTGCCTGCAATCTGAAAAGGAGGAGTGGGATTACATATCACATTGCATAAAACTTTTATGTATTTCACTTTACAGTATAGGTTACTGAGAGCAACACGCAGAGATAGAGGGAAATGGACAAAGCCATCTTATAGAGTGTAAGGAGTAGAATAAGAAGGAACAGTTTAAGCTGCAGCAGCCTCATATTTACTGGTAAAAGATAAAATGCCCACTGCATATCACTACTAAAAGACAAAGTCCACAACACCTGCACACAGCCAGTTTTTAATGTCCGTTTTCTATAAGTTGACACTTAATGCTAATAAATTGGGTGTACAGGGGGGGCTTGCTTTCCAGTCTGAGGAATAAATAAAAGGTAGGAAAGGTTAGGTTGGTTGTTTGGGTTTGCATGATACCCTGGTTATGGGACTTAGTCTATGGATTGTGCACTGCTCTCGGTAACAATTACCCATTTTACACAAGATAAAATAACAATCACAAAGAGTAAATTCCAACTTCCTAAATTGTTCCTCAAAATAGCTGATGGAAGCTGTGATTAACTCTAAACCACCCAAGTCCTCTTTGCCACCAGATGTATGCAGTGTCCACTGCACACATCTAACATATTTCTTTGGCAAGTTTCCTTCAGCCACACCCAAATATCAAATGCATACCATTCAAAATGGGAATTTTTAATTTTATGTAAACCCACTTGATGCTTGCTGTGGTCAGTGATGGCTAGCCTATAACCAACTTTGGTTAATCTTTATGTCATGGATGCACTAACCTAATCTTTATGGCATGGATACACTAACCTAAGGCAAACTCAAGATAAAATTCTTATAGAGGACAAAAAGTAGCATTCATCAGTACAGAAACAATTTGTAGTCAAGAATGTAGGTTGCAAAAATTTTTTAACAGACTAAATCCTAGGCACTTACCCTGACTAGGGCCATCCCTAAATTGCTTCAGAATGAAAAACTAACTTCTGCAGTAATCCTGCACAAAGCTCCTTTGAACTTGTAGGTCATGACAGCAAAACCAATCATTGTTCTTATCTTGGAAGTGCATTGTACCTTAAACCTATTTTTCTATTTCACTTTTCATCACAATGCACAAAAAAAGTATTTATCATGTCTTAATTCTTGATATTTGAGTGTTGTCTGTCATTATGTACTGACATTGTTTTCTTTATTAGAAAATACTTGTTGCATCAGTACATTGCACATGCACAACCATCTACTGGCAAATTTGACTGAAGTGAAGTTTGTTAATAGTAATCCACTAATTGTTTGTGTAGTAACCACATCCCTCTGAGACTAGGCTAAGTCCCTATTACTCCAATCAACAACCTTGGGGGCACTCCTGGAAATTCACAAGCATGGCTGTATGACCCAAAGATCTTAATAATCCATGGGCCTCGCCCCACCTAATCATTACTGACTTCAGTCTCTGCATGGGATTTGCCAAGATATATTTTCTTCATTACTGACATTATTTCTCCTCCTCCTCTCTTCTTAATGCTGCCATTCTATAAATATGCACCATACATTCTTACACAATATTCTGGTGAAAATGAACTCTTGATGAAATTGTTCCAATCTCAGGGGAAATACTAAATACTGTGATGTAAAATAAATATGTTTCATCTATCCATTGGATTTCAAAAATTCCTAGCCTTCCTAGCCATAGAAGGCCTCCACCCTTCAAAATACGTAAGACCCAACTAACATCTACGAAATGGTTAAGGGTCAGGAGACAGAGCCCTTGGCAAGTGAGATACAGAAACCAGACTGAGTTCAGCAGTACAGCCCCCTGCTAGGGATAAACCACCAATGGGTAAGGGTTCAGAGGCAAAGCCACTGGAGAGGGAAATATGACCTTTAGGTGGAGGTCAGGTATGAAGCCCCTCAGTTAGAAAAGGTTTTTGGTTCATTGAACAGAAAATCTATACCATATGGTCGTTTTTTTTCCGTTAAAACATGTATTTTGATCCTCAATTTTGGCTAACTCATCAATATCCTTAATTGCTAAACTACTCAAATACAGTCGATACTTAACACACACACACATTTCTGGCTACACCGGTGAGCTGCCTCATTCTTCTCAGTGGATAAACTGAAGAGATCATAAAGTTTTTACAGATTTATGGAATCATCCTAAATGAAAGAAAGTGTGAAAAGTGCAGCGCAATTTTCTGAACTGTTCCAGCTCTATCTTGCCATGCATACTGAGGTGAAGAGAATGTCTCTCGGGAAGTGTTGGGGGGTGGAGCCCCCCATCAACCCTCCCCTTGGGCGTGGCTAGTCACCGCAACTTGGACAGTTGAGTAAATTTTGCGTTGGTTACCCTGTGCACTTGCACTTTCGTATATTCAAATATGGCAGCATAATTGGACACATATTTCTGAAAAGTATTATTTCTTCGATTTTAGAAAATGTAAATTTTGGCTCACATTTCTGAAAAGTCACATTTCTTTGATCGTAAATAGGAAGTTTGGCTTGCATTTCCTAAGAGTCACATTTCATTGCATTCATAATTAACTTTTGTCATTTACTGACACTGAAATCAGGCTGAACCCACTCTTTATCCCCCCCTCCCCCCAATCCCTGATTCCCCACATGTCCCCCAAGATTGTTGGGTGGAGTTGGGGACTTAGTCTCTGGTGGGTGCGTCTGTACCGTAAAGAATTACCCATAGAACAATCTTTGTGGTAATTTCTGCATTTTGGATGGGTTTAATCATTTGTTTGTGCGGACAAATTGCATTCATGTTTTCCGTGACTGAACCTTGGTCTGAGTTTTTACTTTTTACATTGCCTTTGTGAGCAATTTTGCACTAAGAATGGGAAAATCTAATGACACATAAGGAGAGGGGGAAAAATTACCCTCACTGATATATATAATAATACATGAAATAATATAAAGCCAAGACTACTTCCTTGATGATCAGGAAGTGTCAGAGACCCTGAAAAATACAGCAATCAGGTGCGGTCAGGGAGCAAAGCCCCCATATTAGGCAGGATTTTGGTTCATGAGCCAATGCTTGTGGATTGCCTTAAGTGCCCCCTAGGTTGTTGGCTGGAGTAACATTCAGAATTAGTCTGAGGGATGCAGTCATTTTATAAATAGCTACCATTTCTTTCACTAATTCCTGAACTGGTCATTAGTAACAGAAACAACAGATTCACACACATTAGACCATGAATAATTAGATGGCAGCATCTAACCATGATAAGATGATACCATGATTAATAATAAAAAGGTTTAGTTTAGATTTGATTAGATTAGGTTAGGTTAAGTTTGGAGAGGCTAGGCTATGTTCATACTTATTACTCGTGAGGACGTTTATAGATACATGTGTGCCATAAGTCTAACCATGAGAAATTGTATATGGCTTCCATAAAAGTAACCTCGGCTAAATAATAAGAAAGTGACTACTGGTACAGCAGAAAGGCTCAAAATTGGTGTCCAGCGCAAGATGGCAGCATCCTGACACAAGATAATGATACTATGTTCAGTTCAGTTCAGTTGTTAGATTACGTTCGTACTTATTAGCTAGTAATGATGTTAATATGTGCATATGCATACATGTGAATATACCTAACTGTTAGAAATTGGATATGGTTGCTATACACTTATGTTGCATTTGGAACTCCTCGTCCTGCTCGTCCAGATCAGTTGGACAAGATGTCTTGACCGTTCAGAACCTCTACTTTCTCATTGTAGACTAGTTGTCCATCTCCTCTATCTCACCATCCTGCGAAGGTGGGCAAGCAGGACGAGATGACGTCACAATAGCTTTTGTGTAAACATTAACAGTTGCAGGCAACCAGAAGGTACTGATGGGTAATTTTATGGCCCTTTATTGGTGTTATCAAAAGATATTTTTGTGTTTGTCAGTTGCAGGTAAGTAAAATATGCATCAAAGGAGTTACAAAACCTATGCAGCGTGTAAAATAAAGACATCGTATGATAAATGAGTGAATGTTTACATTTGAGCCAGTTGCATTCTGGGCAGCGAGGGTCTTCGAGGTTCTGAACGCGGCCTTGCTGTCCTGCTGGTCCTGGACAAGTTGTCTGAACGAGCAAGACGAGGAGCTCTGAATTTAACCCCATTAGATACACACAAAATAGATTATATGGTTAGATAATTGCTTAAAGCTTGATGTTATTCATTAAAAAACTCTTCTGTTTGCACTTCGGCAGTGAAATGTCATAAATGCTTAGCGTTTTGATCTATGGGTTGAATGTAGCTACCTGATGGCTGTAATAAACTAGCAAATTATAATAATAATGATGCCCATGCATTCCGCGACTATATGCTACATCCTGCTTATAAATTCGATTTCACAATATAT